GGGGCCCCCCGCCCCCCAACCCCGCGCCCCGAGCCGCTGCCCGCGCCTTTCCCGCCGGGCCGGCGGCCCCAGGGACACAGGGGCGGGCGGGCGAGGGACCCCCGGCAGCAGGGGAAGCCGCCGTGCCCCTCCCCGGCTGGCTTGGCAATCCTGCCCCAGCCTCCTCCGGCGCCCTGCTCCATGCCTTCTCTGCTCCTTCTCCCCCAGCCCTCTCCTCTCCCTGCCGCGAGAGTCTCCAACTCCACCTTTCTCCCGGAAAAAAAAAAACCCAAACCCAAAAAACAAACCCAAGAAAAAAAAACCACAAACGGATTTTTTTCCTCCATCACCTAGTTTTACACTGTAACTTTTGGGAATTGAGTTAAAACCGTCAACTTTCGTGTCGCCCCGAGACATGGCTTCTCGGCTTTCCTCTGCCCTTCTCCTACCACCACTACAACTGAGTCTTCTTCCCTCTGTCATGTTAGTAAACACCAAGCGGGAGGCTTAAAATGCCTGAATCTGCCGGGAGACAGGAGAAGCATCATCTACACCCCTCTGGAAAGATGAAAAGCCATCGAGTAATTTTCTGCAACACTGCACTGAAAGAGAAGATCACAGTGTATATAAAATATACCGACCTGGTGGGGAGTTTATGATTAAAGCAAATGCTGATCAAATGTGTGTGTGCGCGCGTGTATACATACACATATATACATAAATATATATAAATATACACAAATATATGTAAATATACATAGATATATTGAGATATATATATACACATACCCACACACACCCCTCTCTATAGTCTGTATTTATAGATACATACATATATTCTAAAGCTGAAGAGACTGCAATAATCGTTAATCTTTCTACCTCTGACTAAATCATCACAGCTCAACCTCCACTTCTACAATTAATTTACTGACACCGAGAATTTCCCAAAATTAAAAAAAAAAAAAAAAAAAAAAGGAAGGACACCTCGGAAGCAAAAGTAAAATCCCATCAGGAGGTGCCATATTTTAACAGCAGTTTAGAAACGGGGTTTCTCGTTCGTATCAGGGGTTTTGCTTTGCTGCTTTTCTCGTTTAACGAAGCAGCAAAGGGGTCTGTAGTCGAAATAATCCAAGAGGGGTTAAGCGAGCCCCTGCAATTTTCCTCCGCGCTGCAAGAAAGGTGAATTCGCAGCAGTGAATTTGTCACCATTTCGTGGCCAGATCACCGCGTTTTGGGGAAGCAGAAATGTACGGACCCGGGAAGCTTAAAAGCGAGGCTTGCACCGGGCGATTCGTTCAGGGAACGGCGGGTTTGCAACCCGGATTGCCGTGCTCCGAACAGCGCTGCATTTTGGGGGTGTGTTCCCACCCCCCCCCATCCCACGCAAACGACGAGAGCCACCTCCACGCCAGAAGAGCCGCGGTCCCGGGACCGCCGTCCTGCCACCGGCATCGGAGCCGCCGCAGGCCGC